GCCTTCCTCTGCCCCCCCCCCCCCTTTTTTTTCTTGCTCAACAGAATTTTTTCCTGTTTTTTTTTTATTTTTTTTTGCGGGGCGGGGGGAAGGAGGGCTGGCGGGAAAGGTGTTCGGTATTTTTTGTTAAACCATCTGGCAATCCTAGTCTAGATGTGCCCCGGGAAGATTCAGTTAAGTCTGTGCTAAATGTCTTTTGCCATCACTATGCTACCACTAGAGTTCCCACTGTATTCCAGTCACAACCCCATGTATGCAAGTTATTCTGTGCTAGAAGAATCCTATATCTGCATGCAGTTCTATGTGAATGCAGTGGGAAGTCTGTCTACTCAGATTTACTTGTGGGACCAGTGCCAAAGTCAGTGGCAAAACTGCCAGCTCCTGCAGAGGAAGCAATATTAGCCCCTATGCTAGATGGATCTAACTAGCATACAGCTGAAAACCTAGCATGTTCCAACATTCAGCATGGAGAACATGACATTTATTGTTTAAAGTACTGTGCTGAATTATTGGCAGTGACCAGCTCCTGAACAAAGAACATGATTAAACTCTTCAAAGTTCAAATCTCAGTGCATGATTGAAATAGAGTGTTCATAGTTTTCACATTAATAATGTTACCATTTTTCAAACAAAGTTCAAATCTCAGTGCATGATTGAAATAGAGTGTTCATAGTTTTCACATTAATAATGTTACCATTTTCTTTCTTTCTTTCTTTCTTTCTTTCTTTCTTTCTTTCTTTCTTTCTTTCTTTCTTTCTTTCTTTCTTTCTTTCTTTCTTTCTTTCTTTCTTTCTTTCTTTCTTTCTTTCTTTCTTTCTTTCTTTCTTTCTTTCTTTCTTTCTTTCTTTCTTTCTTTCTTTCTTTCTTTCTTTCTTTCTTTCTTTCTTTCTTTCTTTCTTTCTTTCTTTCTTTCTTTCTTTCTTTCTTTCTTTCTTTCTTTCTTTCTTTCTTTCTTTCTTTCTTTCTTTCTTTCTTTCTTTCTTTCTTTCTTTCTTTCTTTCTTTCTTTCTTTCTTTCTTTCTTTCTTTCTTTCTTTCTTTCTTTCTTTCTTTCTTTCTTTCTTTCTTTCTTTCTTTCTTTCTTTCTTTCTTTCTTTCTTTCTTTCTTTCTTTCTTTCTTTCTTTCTTTCTTTCTTTCTTTCTTTCTTTCTTTCTTTCTTTTCTTAAAATGCACTGGAGTATCTGGTTTATTTGATAGATGTAAAGCCAATTTTCCTAACTAGTACTCCACATATACAAAATACACACACACAAACACCTGACTACCACTATTTTTTGTTGTAATTGTTTTATATTTTCTCCCACAGGTGTCACAGCAAAGCAGAAGAATAAATAATGAAGAGTCAGTGAAACACCTATAAATCCATGTAATGCTGCCATTGTCTAGAAGGCACATTCCACAGTGTTGAAATTCCATTCTTGATAATGTTTGTAGTAATACTTTCGGAATGTCAAGTTTCTTCTAAAATGGTCTTTCACTAATCCTTCCTTGGGGATTCAGGGTACCCAGCAAATAACCGCCAGATGCAAGAGACCTCCAGAATGTGCCTTATGTGAATGCTGCAAGGGTCTGGTGCTGAAAACCTCCATGCCCAGAACTTCTGTGGAAGCTGACGAGAGATTCATGTGTTGTGGGCTAATAGGAGTAGGACTCTAATAAACTTCATTTGGGGGCAAATTTTGCAATCTCTTCCTAGGCCAAGCTCTTATTGGCAACCATGAAGGTATGATCTGCATGATGACTGCAGCATTTTACCCCTTGAGTAATTTTAACAACATCAGTGCGACAAAACTGAATTATGGGTAAAACTAGGCACTGTCACCAGCATCTGACTGGAAATTGTTACTTCCTATTCCAGTGGCCTACCAACAATTGGAACTGATATTGGACCAAATATAAGACCTAATTCAGATGAACACACTTTCCCTTGCTAACATTTTAAACAGGGGCTATCTGTTAAAGGAAAATATACTCAATAGCTGGGTGTACGAACACTAAAGACTTGTCTGTGTGGAGAGTTAGTTCGTATTAAGTTGGAGTTTAAATGTACAGTGCACTGGCCAGCTGTTCACTAACTAGTCATATAGACCCTGGGACCATACATTAGAAGTTTTACAGTGCACTTTGATTTACTCCAGTTTCAAATAGGAGTAGATCAAAGTGCACTACGGAACTTCAGTGGATATTCAAAGGTTCCACAATGCCAATAAGTGTGAGTGACAGACTGCCCTCCAGCTTGCTGCATGCTAACTCTTCAGAGAGACAAGTCCTAATGCCTAAATCTTGCAAAGACTTAAATACGCATTAATTTTTAGCATGTGACTAATTCCATGGAGTTCAATGAAACTTCCTATATGCATAAAGTTAGACACATACATAAGTCTTTGCAGGACAGGGGTCAAGAGTATCTATTTTGTTAAAGAAACAGGAAGAGATTTTTTCTAGGTGATCCATTCCAAATACTTTAACTAATATTATTTGGCAAATCTCTGGTTTGGAATATTTATTGCCTGCCGCATGCGCTCAAAGGCATTTGGACTCAAACTACAGAATATTTAGAGTCTCTTTCAGTTTAAAAGCTAGTTATGCAATTTGTGCTTTAAAACCGAGAACCTGCAGAATTTTATGTTAAGAAGAAATCAGAGCTTTATTTCTGAATTATGTTTTGTAATAACCTTGTACCATATAATTTTGTACATTGCTGTCAGTTTGAAATTCTGTGTTTGTTCAATCTGTATTGCAATGTTAGATTGCAATGGGAATGGTGTAGAAAATCATTACTTTTAGGAGTCATGCCTATATGCAGTAACATGCTGAGCATATATAATAGTGTTCAGGTTAAACTATTTTGCATTGCTTAATAAGACTTGATCAAGGGTCACTTATTAGCATCTGTACTGGACAAAGTTCAGAATTAAAACAGTGGCTACCTTTACCTCAAAACTTTGCTTTGAGGCTGTGAAAATTGGTTAATGACAGCAATTAACAGTGTAGAATGAACCAGAACCATTATCAGATTTGGCTGAGGAAATTCTTTGTAGCAGTGTAGCTAGGGTTGCCAGGTGTCCAGTTTTGAACCGGACGGTCCAGTATTTGAGCTTTCTGTCCAGGAAACAAATTGAGAAAATGTAAATGTCTGTTATTTTCTAAATAAGATGAAATGTAGATTGTGTTGTAATGTCAAGTGTCTCCAGTATTTTTGTTGAAACTATCAGGCAACCCTAAGTGTAGCACAGCAGCATTTGAAATCAAGTTCACCATTGTTGTAAGCATGTAGAGCAGCGGTTCTCAAACTGTAGGTTGTGACTCCATTTTAATGAGGTCGCCAGGAGCTGAAGTCCTGTGGCTTAATCTCCTTCTCTCCCTTCTGGGGTAGTGAGGCTCGGGCTTTCCCACACACACACCTGGGGCAGTGGCTCTCAGGTGGCCTCAGGTTTCGGTCCCCACTCCTGGGGCAGTGAAGTAATTTTTGTTGTCAGAAGGGGGTTGTGGTGCATTGAAGTTAGAGAACCTCTGATGTAGCAATTCATTAACTTCAGTGGAACTGCACTATCAGCAGTGAGCGTGACCCTTAGTAATGAGAAAACACACATATACACACAGGCTACGTCTACACTGGCCCCTTCTTCGGAAGAGGCATGCTAATTTCGAACTTTGGAATAGGGAAATGCGTGGGGGATTTAAATATCCCCCACGGGATTTAAATAAACGTGGCCGCCGCTTTTTTTCCGGCTTGGGGAAAAGCCGGAAAAGAGCGTCCAGACTGGCGCAATCCTCTGGAATAAAGCCCTATTCCAAAGGATCCTTATTTTGGTCCTGTCTGAATTTCCACGAGGTGTACCGGTAGTTCGGAGTAGGAACCTAGTCCGAACTACCTAGTTCGAGCCCCGTGTAGCCGCGCTACACGGGGTTCGAACCAGCGGGGATTTAAAAATGGCGGGTCCCCGCTTATGCACATGAAGCCCGATTTGCACTGAGGGTATGTCTACACTACCCTCCTAGTTCGAACTAGGAGGGTAGTGTAGACATACCCTCAGATGGCACTTCCTCAAGCGTCAGGCCTCGTGTGCAAATCCCAGAGTGCCAATCTGCAGTTCCCCCACTCCAACTGGAACCCGGGCTTCAGTACACTGGGAATCAAGCATGCTTACTCAGCAGGTCTGACTGGATTCAGCACTTACTGATTCCTCCCTGGCTGAAGATGGATAGTGACAAAACTTGAGTAAAACCAGAGTATTGTTAGTTTTACTTATAGTAACAAAGCCTGTAGAGAAAAGGCATTTTAGGACTAAAAGCAGTCTACATTTGTCTGTATTACCCAAAAGCTTATCATCCCCTCTTGGTCACCTAGTCAGGCCTAATTTCTTCAGGCAATCCAGCAGATGCCTGCACCTTAAGGTTTCCCCAAACAACAACTTGTCTCTGTCTAAGGAACACTCCTTTCTAAGTGGTCAGAGTTGCTTTGTTCTCACATTCTTGGGCTTTAACCCTTCTGGACAAAACTAGTTTTGCAGGTTGGCTTGGGAGGAGGTAAAATATTGATGCTAACAGTGTGGGCCTTGTCCGCTGAACAACACTCAAGCGTTTGCTGAATAGTTGTTTCTCCTGAGTCACCATTCTTCTCTTCCTTTTTGTTTTCTTTATAGTCACCTACTAAACTACACCAATATATTCACACAGTAAACATCCTAAAAGCAATGTCAACATTCATTATTCCCAACTCATGACAGAGCAGTTCCAATTTTGTCATAGGAATAATTTAGGAAGGGGATATGTGACAGGGTAGAAAGAGGAAGGAGGTCTGACTGAAATGTGCAGTTTTTGGCAATATTTACCTGAGATCTTTGCAAGAAGCTCCCATTGATTGTGTCACAAAAGAGCTAAGTATTCCTCACGATTTCTCAGTAGTCACCTTGAGGCCAAATTTAATGCTGGTATAAGCAAGGCCCTTCTAATTTGTTTCAATTGATTTGCATCTATTTATGCCAGTAGTGAATCTGACCCTCAGAAAGAAATTCACTTTTCCTTTAAGAAGTTTAGTAAAATTACAGCAAATATGCAAATACAAGTACATGAAACAATCAAACCTGAAAAATCCACAAACTTTTACTTATCAGGTTAACTTTCCATGTCTCTTTAGCATTAAGCAACATCAGCATCATTAATCTATGGTAAACATAAATTCAAACACTTATTTTTCCAAGGTCCTTGCATTAGAGGAAGGGTTTTATTTCTTCATTTCAACATTTTGAAAACATTTTGAAAAAATTAGAATTTAAAAAAAATGAAAAGATTAAATGAGAACTTTCCTGTTTATGGAGAGAATTTCACTCTATTTTGTATGGTTACAGTTGTTACGATTATTATAAAGTTAACATATTGCAGCCTAAATAAATATTCCTACTGGAATCACTTATTTAACAGTCTTATCCCAGATTTGGGATTGGTCCTGCCTGGGGCAAGGGGCTGGACTTGATGACCTCCTGAGGTCTCTTCCAGCTCTATGATTCTATAATCTCAGTCCTTCCCACAGTGAAAAGAAATAGAAAATCAAATTGTGAAACAAATAGTACATTTCACTTCTCAGTTGCATTCCTTTTCCACCCTCTTCCACATCTGTATTGTGCTTAAAGCCTTCATCCTGCAAAGACTATGCATATGCTTAACTTTATGCACTTGCCTTCAGAAGTAACTAGAACTACTCATTCGTAAAGTGAAGCATGTCAAGTAAGCATCTTTGCAGGATGAGCGTCTTACCCTGCAAGCTCTTTGGACTTTGACACCTGCTTGGCTATAAAGCACCCTAGCATGCTGTTAATGGCATACACTCAATAATTTTCATTAAGTTATTTTCTCTCATAGTGGACTTGTCTACAAATTTATAATAGTTTTCGACCTATAGATAATGCTAACAATTTCAACATTCTGTGTCAATGGAAGGTATGTGTAGAATGGGGCTAGTATGCCTTTGTGAACAAAAGTTATGCAAAAACCTGGCTGCCATAATCTCTTCGTTATTTGATTCACTTGTTATGTGCTGTTGGAACAGCAGCTTAGAGAAACACCAAACTCAAGGAAATTTACCTTATAGAAAAGTAAACCAGTTTTCATTCCCTCTAAATATAAACGCTAGTTCTACAGCTTAATTTTTTTTTGGTTGTCTGTATGTAAAGGGTTGATTTTTGTACACAGTACTCTATTTTGAGTGCAATATAGAGCTTACCAATAATAAATCAGCACTATATGAAATCCTGCCTTTCTTTATTTGGTCATAATTCATCAAAAAAGAGACTCAGTCCTGGAGCAGTCTGTGTTCCACCAGTCCTCAGTCACACTTTCAATAATGGCTTGAAAAACAGTTTGGTCCTGTCTGAAGCCTTTACTACAATGGAGCTTCCAAAGTTGAGTAGCCCTTCTACAGAGAGAGAGAGTACGTGTGTGAAGGAGGAGGTGTGTATACACATACACACACACACTATAGGTACATAATACATACTTGCACAACTTCATCCGTAATAGTACACAGACTAACTCACAATAGGCTCTTACAGTGTTTTGCCATGAAAATCTTGTGTAAAAATGCACGTAAAACTACATCATGCAAAGCCAGACAGAAGAGAGCTAAACTCCCTAACCATGCTTTAGAGCCCAACTGGGCAAAGCCCATAATCTTTCAAATTCAACTACTTTAATCAAGACAAGTTATTGAGCAAAGCCTATGCTAGCAAAGGCACACTAACAAAATAGAATTTAGAGGGCCTGATCTGAAATGGTGGTAAATGCCTTTGTCCCAGAAGCGGGTTTGCCCTGGAACCTGACGTATCTAATCACCAGAGGATTTTTGGATGTAAATAAACATAGACTCGATTTCAAAATGTAACCAAGTATATTGTAAATACAACAGATAAAACACAAGAATGAAACAACACTGAATAAATCCAACCCCTCTCCCACTGATATAATAGGAGACAGTACAGATAGGATTATGAACTAACGGTAGAATACTGTACTCTGTCAGAGGTTCACAGGTGCTCAGGACCTTCTACCCTGTGGCTGCAGGTAGCCATTCGGGAGGAACTCTGAGGAGTCTTTAGGCGTTTAGGTGTAGAGTAACTCACAAAGCACTGCAGAGAGCCTTTACCACAGAATGCAGGCTTTGCTTCATGTAGTCAATGTTGTCCGATGGTATGAGATGCAGGGAGCTGTGGACTCACTACGCTGGGCAGTTGCCACAACGGTAGGTCCAAGCACCCTGATGGCGGTGGGATGAGGGTCAGTTGCCACAACGGTAGATCCAAGCACCCTGATGGCGGTGGGATGAGGGCTGTCCGTACTTGAGGTAAAACTGGCCTTCGCCATGTCTTCCAAGTATAACAAGCAACTCTCCTCCACAGTGATGACAAACGGCCGACCTGATCCTCTCAGGAACAGGTGTATTTAAGGATTTAAAGGCAAGAAAACAGCTAGAATTCCTATGGGCAGAAAAATAGTGACTTGTACACAGTCTATATGCGTTGTGCATGTTTCCATGCCGTGTGCACACAATTGGTGTCGTGAGCACAGCCAGGTGCTGTGTGCAAAGGTGTTTTTGGCAGCAAAGTCTCTGTCACTCATGACAGGTTCCATTTTGAATTGCCTGACTCCATTGTGATTTTACCAACAATATCCTTAACAACTACAAAGACAACCTGAGATAATTGGGGTTTTCAACCAGTAGAAAATAAATAATAATGTTTGATACTGACAAAACTTCTTTGTACCACATGACAGAATTCTGCAGAACATTTAACTAGCACTCTTTTGCTGAACCACAAGAGAGAGAAACACCTCAACAAGCCAGAAAACTACCACCCCAGGGGTCCCAAAGCTAGATAAACTGCAAGTCTTCCTTTCAGAGTAGACGTTCAAAGGATAGCTGCACAATGAACTAAACAGGGTGCGAAAGTGAAGCATATTGTCAATCCATTTTTTGAATTGCCCTGGTTCACCAAATCTTCCCGAATTATCAAAATGGGTCCCCATCTGGAAAAGGTTGGGAACTGCTGCTATAGGGTTATCAGAATGGTTTGGGCCTTTATGCAGTTTCAGGTGAAGAGAGTCAGGTTGGACCCTTAGTTGACAAGATTTCCATTTTCCAGAACAAGCCAGGATATACATCAAATACCTGTTCTGAGAAGATTTTCTCCTGCAGGATTTGGAATCATTGAGAGATGGGGAGAACTGTTGCTGTCCTATGTGTGGCATGCACAATAATCCAATCAGCCTCTACTGAATTGGTTTGGGTAAATTGCTCCTTGATTGGATGGCTATCTATATTTACTAGAATCCTCTTGAAGAGTTGGTATATTTTGCTGACAACATCTTCATAATGATTAAGGATGGTTCTTCAGCTACTTATGAGCACACAGAACCCTTAGAATGATTGAACATTCAAAGAAAGTAAGCACTTATTTCTGAATGTAGCCTGATTTCAGTTTTTGGGGCTTAACTCCAGGATAAGGTAATTTAGGAAGTCTGATAGTGTGATAGCAATATAGCTGAACTAGGTAGGCTTTTGCTACACTGAAGAATGAACACACACACACACACACACACAATAATGAAGGGAATCTACAGTTCTCCTAGCTATATTCTTTCCAGATCCCGCAGATATATGTTGAGACATAGAGCTAGACTCACTCACTGAAATTACTGGACACTCAGGCTCTGATCCCCAATGGTATTTTGGCTCCTACCTTTCACTGGAATCAGTGTGTTGCTTTGATGCACAGTTCTGCAAGAGCTCTAGACAAGTCTCAGAGGGTATGTCTACACTACCCTCCTAGTTCGAACTAGGAGGGTAATGTAGGCATACCGCACTTGCAAATGAAGCCCGGGATTTGAATTTCCCGGGCTTCATTTGCATAAGCGGGGAGCCGCCATTTT